ACTACTTTCTTCAACTTTCTCAAATAACTTCAAATAAGCTCGGAATCCAAAACATTTTAACACAACTTCGAATACCTTTTTTCATACAACGTGGAATGACAAAAATAAGAATAATTAATACATTTACTGATTAAATTATATTTAAAATAATATAAAAACAATAAAATAATATTAATTACATGCTTTTAAATAATTAATAAATAATTCTAAATAATTTATTTTACATAAGACAAACAATAAAAACACTTCCGTTTATGCTATAACAAAGTATCTACAAAATATGTGAACTGTTGCTCGAACAGTTTTCTACGTCTGTTTTCTGGTCAATATTCTGAAAAACTTGTAAACTTCGCTAAACGTTATGCATATATTAAAAAACTATAACAAGAAAGGACAATAAGTAATCATAATAATTAATAAAATATTTAAGTATTGTAATATTGTGATATTGCAATATTCAAATATTTTCAACGACTTGCTGAAATATTCGTTTTCAATATAATAGTTCATTTTCAAAAATCCTCGACTCAATTCTCGTACGATCACAATTGCAAGTGCGGTGTTTACATCGAACGGCAATGATTTACTTGACCCAGCCTTAGATCAGTAATTCGTAATTAAAATCACCCAAACCAATTACTGACGAAGGAATTAAATCCGTTGCTGAGGGACGAGAAAATTCCGCTGTTCGTATCGGAAGCCGTGTTAGTTCCCGGATGTGGTCGGAAATGTATCACGTGGTCACGGTGAATATTATCTCTGTTACCAGTGTAGAAGTTAGACCCATTTTCTTCCTCGTTTGGGTATCTCTGTTATTAATGAAAACACATTCTAAGTAGATGTTATTTTCCGTATATCGGTTAATATACGAAAAGTAATTTTATTTATTTAAGGATAATTACAAATTTTAAGAATAGTGAATCACTAAATGTTATTTAAAACATGCAGCATTCGAAAAGCTAAAAAATGATATATTTTTGAAACACGGAGAATGCAAGTTTTACATTGTACTTACATTCGCCCTGTATAACGTTACGTTGAAAGACGTTGGGTGTTGTTCTACTACTCTGAATTCTACATCCCGGGGAAGATATCCGTTTGCGTATACCTGAAAGAAGTTCAAAATTGTCAATCTCTAAAATAATTTGGAGAAACGAAATATTAACACTGGTTTGTTTGCTTAGGTGACTTTTATTTATTTAATTATTTTTTTAATTGTTAGTTTTATTTAACAAGAATGGTATTGGTTCTCGTGCATATGAAATAGCTATTTAAAACTGGAAAGTTTGAGCGTAAAAATTATTTACTTTTTAAGATTTTATTCGATCAAATACGTATTATTACTTTCTATAGATAGTACACATTTGTCTGATATAAATTAATGCCTGGAAAATACTGTGTACGGTTTAAATATTTTCGTTTGCAAATTTATTTAGGAATTTTTAGAATATAAGCTGTAAGTCTCTATAAATTTATGTTTCCAAGAATGGTTGAATTTAATGACATGAACATGCCATTTCTTTTATAATCAGAAATATAATTGATAATGTGAAATAGAAGATTATTGAACTACTATATAATTATTTATTATTTATATATTTATAATTTGTTTATTGTTGTTGTGCCAAAATCTTTAAAATCAGTGATAGGCAATTTCATATGCGCCGGTATAGTATAAAAGTACTTCAAGTACAAACAACAGGAAAAATATTTAATTATATAAAGTTATATAAGATTAAATCGCAATCGAAACTGAAAACAAAGCGTTGATGCATTACCTCGAGTTTATACACCCCCGGCAACAAGATTCTCCAAAATTCACCGTATTTCGTAGTAAGGAAGCTAACATCTCGCGACTTCACTTTAATAGACGCTCTTTCGATTGGATTTCCATTCTCGTCAATTACAAATCCACGCACTCCTCTATGGGCCTCTGCCAAGAATTTCATAAGGGCCTATGGAAAGCAAAATTCTATTGTAAATTTTATACGAAACATGAAATACATTGTACCTCGCATAGAAGAAAGAAGAGATTAAATTATTTTTATTTGAAAGGATATAATTTATGGGCATGCAACAGATAAAAAGTTATTTTCAAACCACATACAACACACAATACACTGTGTTTAAAATGTATTTATATGTACGAGAATAATAATAAATAACGATGTTAATCAAATTTGATCAAGTGTCTGAATATTACAATTTATGGATGATAGTAAACACAAAAGGCAATAATGAACAAGAAAAATTAATGGATGCCCAGAAGTAGGGCTTATTCAAAAAAGACAAAATGTGATGTAAAGAATATTTCTGGAAAGTTTTGTTTCTCAAGTATTATTCCAGGTGTCAGAAATTATGCATAGAAGAAAAGTGAACATTGACGACTGTATAGAATAATCGCGTATGTTATAAATTTCAGTCAACATAGCGGAATAATTACACTGCGGATTTTGATGTATTTATGGAAAATTCAAAAGTACGAAACAAAATATCCGAAAAAGAGTGGTTTTTATAATATTTGTGGAGAAAACTATTTTCCATAATTATATACATTCTATTCTTCTAACTATGTCCTAATAAAATTGGATTTGCATAAAAATTCGCAGTTCACTAATAATGTACCCATTTTGCACAAAACTTTATTGCCTAATAGCAAAGGAAGGAAGAGACTTGCCTTGTATTTCTGTGATTTTAAAAAGTAATAGATTACTTTTAATAATAATACTTTTAACAATAGTAGTATACAATACTGCAGTCAAAAACAATAAATTACCATAATAATACTATATTATTGTAATAATAAATTACTTGTCAATTATAAAATTACGATTTTTATCTTTCAATTTGGCAGAAGAACATACGTTAGCCTGTTACACCAGTAATCTGTCCAGTCACTACACTAAACAGTAATTTATTTTTCCATCCTGTAAAATTCATGAAACATAGTAACATAGGCCCTTCCCCTAGACACCGATTGAAATGAGAAAGAAAAACGTTACGTTTGTTTCCACAGAAAAGGTCCCGCGCTCGAAACTTACCGCGCGATTCTCATCCCAATAGAATTGCAAATCGGAAGCTGGTGGATATTTGCAGCACGAGAGCTCTAACGTGATTTCCATGCATCCATTCCAGACGTAGTTGAAATCCTGCATTCCACCAGTGAGCGGGTACCATTGCGCGCCATTGGTGATGCCGTTCTTAAATCCTGGTTGAGACGGCGAGCAGGGAAGCCCTTGGTACATAGACCCATGGTTACGGGAATACACTAACGATAAGTGTTGAAACACATCGTCGTCCGGCGAAATGCTTGGCGCCGAAGTATAACTCTGAAACACTGCATTGCCTGTATAGTACTTGCATCGGATTCCATTCTTGAGAATTCTCTTAACGCTTATGAAAGACTCGACTGCAAAGCACGGAGTACTCTAAATCAATGAGAAGTGCAATATGAAAGTCAGAATTTATACAGGGTGTCTCATTTTAATCTACGAATGCAATTGTCTTTGGAATTATTCGTTATCTAAACGATGTCTCGAATGAAATTTGGCCTGTTTCAAAAGGGCTGTTTTTTTCTGTTTTAACATCTTGCTGGCTGGTGAATTTGTTTATAGAGAACATCTTTCAACTTTAATACATATATGTTTTCACATACGGTAGGGGGGGATGGCCCACATGTTTTACAGGAACTGTTACATCGAAAATGTCAGTAATATCTAATAAGGTTCAATATATCAGTAGAAACGATTGAAAATATTAGAGATTTAACAAAGTAAATGAGGTGGGGCCATTTCACTTGGAATTACTCTATAATATGTTAAAATGATTTAAACGATTTAACTTGAAAGTAAACTCTTCAGACCAGATTTTTGTATAAAATTATGTTTACGTATTCAACAACAATGGACCGTCATTCAATGCACCATCAGTAATGACATTATTTCGAATGAAATGTAACGGTAGTATACTACTTTTCTGATAGAAATAGACTCAAAGCAAAGGTGTATCTATGATTGCCTATCACAATTTTAATATTTTGCAGATATTGAAGTAGGAAAACAGTGTACGTTATAATGTGTGCTGGATCTAAAGGGGTTAAACCAATGAATATAATCGAGAGCACTCTTATAAACATATATACATTGCTTTCCGGCATAAATTAACGGAAATGTAAATGCAATGAAATTCGACTGAAAAACAACTCGGACCAATAAACAAAAGTATAGAGGAAAGTAGGGTAAAACGGACCGGTCAGGTAAAACGGGACAATAATTTTTTTCATAGATAAAGACTTGATATCGAGTTGATGTCGCATAACATGGTTCTTGTAAGTCCTCAATATATGTACATAGTTTGAGATCAACTGCAGAGCAGTATACGAATTATTTTTCGATTAAACGCATTAGAAAGATATTCAGTGAAACAGTTTTGATGTTACATAGATGTTTGAAGAATTTTTTTTAGCTTTCGATTAAACAATTGTGTAAGATAACTACAGTACTAAATTCTACGTTTCTTAAGTTGTATTATTGACACTTAAGTTATTTCTTTATCCCTATTTAATTTTTCTAAAACTTGGTTATAGTTTTAATTGGTTACGAGTAATTGTATTGATGTATAGCAAATTAGAATCGAAGATGAGATAAAAACTGACCAAATACAATAGATTGCACCAGTGCAGAAACAGAAGATGACGCATTTATTTGTGATTTTTGTTCATAAAACCGTGTATATTTATAATTTGTTCATATCAGCTAACAATTAAATTGTATGCAGTTAACAATTTTGATTTAGTAGAAATAAAGGTTTTGTATTTTTATATGATTCTACATGAATGCCTCGTTTTACCCTATCATTTTTGCGAAGCCGAAGTCAGTAGCTTTAAAAAATTGTACTTTCCTTCGTAACTAAATATTTTTATTAAAAAATCTCTTATTTTCTTGTAGTCAAATGTCTATTTAAGACTTCCCAAAAAGATTTCATGTGTTTATTGCTCCAGATACTTTGTTACTACGATGAAAAAAAGCGTCTCATTTTATCACAATTTCTCCTACTCGTCACTGGTGTTAATTCAACAAGATGTTAAATTCGTTTCTATGTGGACGTGAGTAGGGTGTATTATTTTTTCAAGCATAATCATTTTTTACGTTAATTGATGCGTCATTTTTTATTAAAAAAAATGGTAACCTATCTATGTTGGAAGCCTATTAAAACCGAAAGAATCGCATTTCAGATATTTTTTAAATAACGAATAGCTCCAGGAATAATTGCATTTATACATTAGAATGGGACACCGTGTATTTAATACATCAGGTGTAACAATAAGTAACCTACCGTTTTTTTCGTAAAATTTTGTATGTCAATGGAAATAATTTGGAATTTATTTAATTGAAACGGTTAACCCTTAGAGTGCCAGCGTCGCTCTCAGCGACTCGATTTTTATAGTGATAAATGTAATCACCAATAGTATTTTTCATATTTTCTGCTGTTTTCTCTTTATTTGTACCTCTGATTGTACATTATGATACAACGTTTTCTCATTTTTATTCAATGTGTAAGGAGTGCTCAACACCGGGAAGAAAAATAAGGTCGAGGACAGTATGTATGTGTGAGATGTGACAAAGGGCTGCACCCAAGATGTGTCGATAACCACAAATGTTAATGTAAATATTTTTTATTATTGTATTATGATTTTGAATTTTAGTTTTGCTTATAAAGTGTTTTTCAATGTTGATTATCTATTGATGTACACATCTCTCTAGCAAGGTGGCTGTTTGTCTTCATTTTCTTGAACCTTATAGGTTTCATTATTTTTTCAAATATGTACGTAATTCATGGCATTTTCTCGCATTTTCTACATTTTTATTTGTGTTTCATTGCATAATTGTCATTTCGTTTGTATTTTGCTATAAATATTATATCAATAGCGATGTTAAAGGAAAGAGAATTTATTTTCCCAAAACAATTGTTGTAATAAAATAATTTTTTACTATTCCTTGTACACGTTTTAGCACATTGATATAAATAGTAAAATTTTTATAGATATTTTTCGTAAGCTAAGCATTTCTCGGTAAAACAGCATGGCAACTTTCAAAAGAATTTTAGCAATTATAAATGACACTCAAGGGGTTAAATAATTACGCGAATGAATAATTACGCAATTATTTCAAATTTAAATTACACCTTTAAAGCGTTAAACGCAATATTTTAAACTGTATTCTTCAAAACGAATATTAATTTTTATTTTCGAAACATGACAAATATTAGCTTTGTTTTGTTTTTAATTAAATAGTATGAGAGTAACTGATCAATTGGTATCCAATAAATCTTCTCGAGGAGCTTGCTAAATGAAAAAGGGGCTCTTTTTAATTATTTCATTCCGAAACATTTGTTTTTACTTTAGAAAATAGTTTGTAGCGTTTCAATTTTTCTTGCATTCAAATTTTGCAAATATCGCAAGTTTGGTGATAGCACATGGAATTGATTTTATTGGTACACCTAACGAAATGACGTTTCTTGAGAGTTTCAATTTGTGTAAAAATGTTAAAATAAACAATGTCTAACTACCTATTAGATATACTAATGTGTAATCCACTAATTTCTTAATTGCATGTCCAATACAGTTCAACTTCAATATATACCTATTCCTATTTTTTCGTTTGCTAAAAATGATGTACTACAGAATAAGCCAATACCAAATTGATGCAGGTAGTACTAAATGAACAGCACATACTTTTTTTATCTTTTACAAAACAATTGTTAAACTTGTCAGAAGATAGTGGGTTACTCACTGGTATTGAAATACGCAAGAATTCAGTAATATTTTGAAGCATTAAGATATTGTAAAGATATTGTAAATACCGATAATCATGAATACCAAATAAACATGTGAACCTTCGATTCAATTTTCGCTTATGTTATTTATTAAAATGGCAATAATGAGAATGATATAATAACGCAGAAGCATTGGTTTAATACGTGAAGAGTAATTAAATTTCGTTTCTAATTGAAGCCTGAGAGAAATTAATTGGCAACAAATGTAAAGGTTTTCGATAGATGAATCAGTTAACAAATACACCATATACCTGCACACGATGGAGCTGACCGGCATATTCCTGACAGCATGAAAAGTTACACAATAGGATGAGATTGCTTTTAATCGTGTAAGTTACGTAACATAATTTGTTTTTACAATTACAGGGGCAACCGATACTTTCTTCAAATAAACTGTTTTCAAATATTTGCTTTCAAAGTAACTCGACTCGACGTAAGTGAAGAGTGTGTTTGACTAAAATGGAATTGTCCCTTAAATGATTAAAAAAGCATAAAAATAATCGCACTATTGTAACTGTAATATCTTGTGCGCCAAGAATTTGAATTATTGATGAGATTGTTACGCTTAAAGATTTTAAATGGATCTTTCAATTTTTAAAACGCGACGGTGTCTCTCTAATCGTATCTTAATGCTTGCGCTCGTATGTCGACAATTACATAAATCTCCACAGAGATTTCCTACGTTCTGACACTTGAATTAATATCTGAGCAGGGAAAGCAGCTACTAATTCCATGTTTTATTTATACCATTCTTTCTTTATAGGTATTATCTATGTTTTAAATTAAAGAAACTACTCATTGTTATGTCCTTAAATGTTGAAACGACTAATTATATAGTAATCATTTCATACTGTAACAAATGTGAACTTCCTTGTGATTTATAATTGACAACAAAACTTTCACAGAATAAAATTTAATTCACAAATAAATATCATTTAAAAGACATTTTGAATGAGAAACTCGAAGACGCCATTAAAATCTCAGCAAGCAATAACTTCACGGACAAATTCTCAAGTATAATATAATATATTCCTTTCCAACTTAATTCATTCTCACATGAATATTCAAATATTACTTCTATGTTCTTATTAGAATCATAAATAGAAACATTTCCCTTTTTATAGTACTCATGATCGTTTTAAACACCGTTAGTCTCTAGATTTTATCAAATAATATACATTTAAATTTGTATATATCTTTTAAATAAAATTGTATTTTGTATATACGAATTTTGCAAATATAAATTTGTGTATATTCTATTCTAGTTTTAAAACAGAAAACTAAACTGTGTTTTATTAGAATAATAAGAAGACAACTTTTCCAGAGCAAAAAGAAGGAAATTGATAATTATTGTGTATACAAACAAACTTACGCGAATTCGGCGTATTGTCAAACGGGTAACTGGCAACTAAGGCACCACCGTGTAAGCTTCCAGATAGAACAAATTGAATTTTCGACACCCATTCCTTAACAGCTTCGGTTTCCGGTTGACTTTTTATTTTGTTTTGCTTAAAGTAGTCAGGGAAGTTGCGGTTCAAATCGAAACCACGGGCGTTGTATCTATAAAAGAACAATAGTTTCAAATACATTCAAACAATGAAACATTTCAATTCATTTCACATGTGGCGAAAGTAATTTCTCTAAATTATAAAAATAAATATAACAATAAATTTCCAATGAAAGAAAGCAAAAGCCTTGAGAAGGAAACCAAAAGCGTAATTTTAAATAACAATTTTAATAATTATGAAGTCTCCGTTCTTCAAAATGTGTAAATAATATTTCAAACATTTTTCTGGTTCCATTAACCCTAATCGTCCCACGTGTTTTTATAACAAATCCTACCACGACGTGACTCTCAGTCACTTATGAGAATAAAAGAAATGATTAAAATGTTATTGTTTTTGTTTATAGGGCCCAAATTTTAAAAGCCCAAAAAACACTTGGAAATGCAACGTGACATAATAAAAAAATTTAAGTAAAAAGTTCAAATGTGACTCAAAGTCACATCGTGGTCCGATTAAGGTTAAATATAATGGAAATACTTCTAGTGACCGAGTATCATACATGGGACACCCTATAGACAAAGTAGGTACCGTCCATTGCAGAGAACCTGACACTCTCGTCTGAATAATTAACGAACTAAATTATGAAGAATCAGCGTACTCTCAGTTTCTTTATTTCTTACGCTTTAGAAAACCACTTACATTGCTCTATGTAATGTCACAAAATATTACATATAACAATTAACATGTTATTTATAATTCTGCACACCACCAGTTTCTTGTAGAAATGAGAATAACGTTTGTATTGTAAATACGGTGCTCCTACTTCTTTGCACAGTCTGACGTCGAGAGCCTAAATTGGGGATGATAAAGTTGTCGATGACTGCGCCAGCACCGATCTTGATGATTTTTATATACGTTATCAAGGACATGATTTTGAACGACTTTTTTCTTCCCTCATGATGGTATTCTGTTTCTCAATTTGGGACCGAATGTTATCCAGTATGTACTGGAAATCGGACTCGCACAACCTCGCAATTCATTTGATAAAAGTTTTAGCCAATAAAAGTGAAAAATAGAAAAGTTTAACATTGCATTAATATTCCCTCATTCATCTGTTTCTTTTGATCATTCCTAAGTTCAGATATCTTGTTCTTCCATTCGCGTCATCCTTTTCCACAAGGGACAAACAGAGGACTCGACACCACTGCACGATTAGTGCCCGGTTGCAGTCTCGATTTTCGGGTAATCGCGAGAATACTATAGTAACAAAAGCTTTTCGTGAATATCTCGGAAATTAAAACTTTCCGCGAGCAACACATAAAGAAGAAAGTTGTTCGAAATCATGTCCTCAACAACATATTTCAAAATTATCAAAATCAACAGTACATCGACAGCTTTACCTTGGGGATTTCTCGAAATCGGAAGGAAAGGATAATCCGACTTACAGAGCTACCGTTCCTGCCCCTATAACGTCACGAGTGCCAGGTTCGCTGCAACGGATGGTACTGTACTATTGGGAGATCACTTGATATCTAGCGAGACGGTACAAGGGCAAGAAGAGTCTCTTGCCAAGGATTTTCTTTATGATTTTGATTGGTTACGTGTAACCGTATTAACTAATAGCAAATTAGTATCGAAAACGAGATGAGAAAAGGTGAAAGCTAACCAATGAGACCCGCATTCCTCAGTTTCGCCATCAAATGATCTCCCAATCAATAATACAGTACAGTTCTCGTACGTTTGCCAAGTCAGAAATGCAGAGGAATAAGCGGAAAATGTCCACTCACGATGATCGGTTCCATAGTTAAAGAAACATTGATGTCTCTCTTTCGATTTACTTTTCTCATTACTTAGTCGGGTAAACGAAGAACGCAAATGAAACAGAATGAGGCATCCTCGTTGCTATTAAGACGCGAGAACTCTCGAACGGGGAATCCTTTAACCCTAATCAGACCACGATGTGACTTTGAGTCACATTTGAACTTACTTAAATTTTTTGATTATTTCACGTTGCATTTCCAAGAGATTTTTGGGCTTAAAATTTGGGCCCTACAACAGAAACAATAACATTTTAATCATTTCTTTTATTCTCATAAGTGACTGAGAGTCACCTCGTGGTATGATTCGTTATAAAAACACGTGGTACGATTAGGGTTAATCGTTTTATTGACGGCAGACTCATCGCTGGTAATTACCCCCGTAAAGCCAGTAATCAATATACTCGAGTCATCAACATGTCAAGAACCATTATCGCAGGTAGTTTTGGGGAATAATGTCGACAGCCACAGTAAGTACCAGTTGTTTTAGGTACATGTACAAGCTGTACGACCCTTTGGGATTAGAGACATTCTTGTCCACTATTCAAGACGAATCGCTGCCGGTCGAAATAGTCAAATTCCACGAAACACGCAGTACTCGGGTTATTTGTCGTCTAAGTCCGTGTATACGTAACAGTTGCTACGACTACCACTAAAATTATTATATAATTTTTATTTCACAAGTATATGGTATAATCGGATAACTGTGGAATCTAGTTTAAAAAATCTCCCATTTTGTGCGCAACAAAATCAAATTCTCGAATATAAAATAATTTTATTAAATTCTTTAAAATTATTGATAAAAATAATTTGGTATACTATTTTTCTGATAGACAAAGACTCAAAACAAAGGTGGGTACAGTGGTGCGCCAAAGGTATTTGTTAGCTGAGTGTAATCTTTTATTGGCCTCCCCTTAAAACATTGGAAAACATTATTATGATCTTTCAATAACTCTCCGTCACAAGGTCGTCTCACTTTCCACGCTATTAACCTGTTTACTGTGGAATTTAGTTCGAAAAATTTCTCGTGCTGCGCGACACAATGAAAAAATGAAATGTGTTCTCGTCAAACGCAGTGCAAATGCATCTATAATATGTTCTAATGAAAAACTAAAGTTAAACGAAGAAGAACTACATATTCATCTGAAAAAATAAATAATTGATCGTTGAAAAAATTAGCACCATTTTGCGTTTCAAGATGATGTGTATACTCGTCGAACGCAGTTAACTGGTTAAATTATGAAGGACGTTCCTGCGAGAGATTTAAAATTAAATTTGTGCATTTGTACAGATACAAGGCTAGAAGACCCTTCGAACCTCATGAAACTTATTGTTCTAATTTTTATTGAATTGTTTATTGGATATACTTTAATAAGTAATACTCTAATTGCTCGGTAGTCTTAGTGCTACGGAACCGATCATCGCGAGTGGACGTCTTTCCCTTTTCCCTGTGATGATGATTGTTTAACTTAATGGACGTTCCTCAAGGCGTGAGAGCTGCACTGTAATCATGTCTTTTTACATACACAACAGATTATGATCAGAAAGTAAAACTTGTTACTCTAAATTACACGGTGGTAAGTGTCAACGAACTTGAAGTATTCATTACACGAAGCATCCATTATAGCAATTTTGATCGAAAGTTGAGGATTAGAATCTTACCTTCCCTGTCCGCCTTCGCAGTATCCCTCTTTTGACACTTCGAATCCGTCAGGATTCATCGATGGAAGAATATGTATTCTAGTGTTGTCTAGAAGCCACGTAACGTACGGATCCGATCCATAATTGGTTACGAAATACTGGAAATATAAAAAAGAATTAATTACACCATATTAATAGATTAATATATAGATTACATTAACGCTTTGCGCCCGGAAGCTTATTTAACACTACGGAAGCACTTACTGTGCAAAGTTGATTTGAAATAAAAGTCATTATACTGATATGAAGTTTTATAGGAATTAATACGTAAAAGATTTTCTGTTTTGGTTTTTGTATTTCACGATTATCTTACAGTATGAAAGAAACAGAAATTAATGAATAATTAAAAAATGCCAGTTAATAAAATGTTGTATTGATGATATTCGAGTGCAAAAGATTAAAATATTAAAATATTAAAATATTAAAATATTAAAATATTAAAATATTAAAATATTAAAACATTAAAATATTAAAATATTAAAATATTACATGATTATATTATTATATTGGTTATTATTCTGTGAAAAATATAAACGGAAGACTTGTACGAATATACAATGTTATTCATAATAATTTGTGTTTTGTCTTTCTCCAAAAAATGGTATCAGTTCAATTCTGTGAATTAATTACGAAAAATTTGTAATTACAGTGCAGTTCCGCATGGCTACACTTTTGCGTGCAGTTATGTTAAACTTTGTTTTCATGCCTTGCAACACTTTCTAGCTTCCTAATTACAATGGATAACGGACACTTAGATTTTGAGTAATAAAATAGTGACAACAATAAGTATTGTATTTTTATTCTAAACAAGCAATTTATTTGTCTATTTGTTTAACTCATTATTTGCATTAGTAAATAATGTACAGTAACATTTTAGCGAAGTTAAATAATTAAAACATATTATATATAATATATTTTATTATTTTATTAGAACATTTTATTTTTAAAATAATATATCAAAATTATAACATTGACCCTTATCCTTACACTTCTTCAATCTCCATGTTACTAAAAAAAATCTAACGTTAAAGTGATTTTATATAATTTACATAATTATGAAGGTTTAAAGGACTTTATATCAACAATAAATAGAAAGATTTATAAGATTCAAGTATACACGTTTAGTCAAATATTTAAATAGAACTTCCAAAATTTGCGCTGAAAAACGTATAACAGCTTCTTAAGGGTCTTATTACCCTCTTGTTCTTTTTCACAATGAAATGTATCTTTTATTATATAATTAATCATATTATATTAAATAATTTCTTGCTTTGACTAAAGCACTAAAAAGTTACATAAGACCTTCTTAAGAATGTCGCACACATTTGTTGGTTTCTACAATGAGATGTATCTCTCAGTACATAATTAATCATATCGTACTAAATAATTTTTATCTCGACTCTGATATCTGTACGTATGACAAGTAACGAAGGTAACGACTCGCGTGTCACTTGTTAGCAATAATTCATTCATGAAACAGAACAGAATATCGAGGAGTGACGTAAAAAGATCTGGATGTATCGTCATTAGTACATAAGTCGTGGATCTATATTATCATTCGATAGAACGTCTGCTCTATCTTTCGACCGAATACATTATAAAGGTTTTACGGGCAGAATATGGTATTTATAGGGAGCACCAGAATAATTCTCGCATTAATGACTTTCAAATGAACGAAAGGTGTTTGACATCGTGCACCATGCAAAGCAGCAAGAATTCCTTCTGAGAAGACGTGCTTTGTCCCAATTAATACTTTAACACGTTGATTGGCACAGTGAACATAAGCTTTTTATATCAAAGATACAAAGCAAGGACTATTAATTGTTTTGAATGACAATTTTTACGTTATTTTGTTATCTAGTTATTTACGCTACATTTTCATTCGACATTAGTTATCATACAAGTTATAACTATTTTCTTGTAATTTGGAAGCTCCGACCATCAGTGACCGTTATGGTAGTCAGCGTGTTAATGACCGTATAAATTTATCCCTTACACATTCGCGACCGTTAACGTGAACTCACGTCTTTCCAAATATAATAACTTTCAAAATATTTTATTGCTCCGCTGTTTTCGACTTTTTAACGGAAAATTCTTTATTTCAAACAAGATAGTTATAAGACTAATATTGCAAAAAAAATCTCCTAGTTTTTGTCGCAGTTTTAACGTAATGATTATTAGAAAAGCGAAAAAATTTGTCGGTCGCGAATGTGGTAACAATTGGTGTCAATATTAAAACACTTATACAGTGCAGGTAATCACTCTAACACAGTTTGAGAATTAGGAAAAAAACTGCATTCTAGAACACGGATTGAGAGTTAGAGAAATCCCCGTACAGCGCTTAAAGTTTCTAAGAGTAAAATCCGAAATGAGATAAAACATGGAACGAAGTAAGAGCTCTTAAATGCGCAAGCCATCTCATTGGAAATGTTTCATTTGAACGTGTATGTCGTATCAGATTTGCCTGCAGAGCTCTGAAGTTTGTTACGATTTGAAATACTATTTTGTTCGTGGAGTATTAAGCACATTTTAAATCTTTGTGTTTTCTTTTTACTACATTCTATATAGATTACAAATTTTCGAATGCGTATTATTAAACCATTTTTTTAGAAGTGGCATTTGTGTTTTTTTACTTTTTGGAACGCAACTCCTTTTGCACTAGTTCTTTGTTTTGTATAACACGGCATTTTTTAGAAACATAACAACCGTGTTATACGGAGGTTACCTGCACTTAAAATATATTCTTCTGAAAATTTTGTGTATTTTTTACTAATTCATTGGAATATTTGTTCAGAGTGTGGCAGATTATATAGTGGCAGCTACAGTTTCTTTTACTTGCATCGATATCTAAAGACGCCTTTAGATGTCCTCGGTTATTAATGCGTTAATATATCGCGCATGTTAAACGTTTACCCCTATGTGAAACATTTCGACAAACGCATCGAATAAATTTCTCAGAAATCGACGATTAAGTTAATAGTATTTCCCTTGAGTACGAATATAAACTCGGGGTCAATGGCGGTACAAAGTGTATCAGATGACTACTTACATGAATCAGATGCAACATTAACTCACGACCCACGGCTTCATTCCCATGTATATTAGCTACGTACTTCACATCAGGTTTGCCAATCATATGTTCGTATGGTGAGGAAGAAACAACCATCACCCATAAGTCGCGACCTGTAACATGGAATTTTTCAAATTGCCTTTTCGCTGTTCGATTTTCGTGTGTAACGTATATACACCAATAACCAGCCAGTTAATGTTATATAAACACAAATATTTAATATTTAATATTTAATATTTAATATTTAATATCTATTATTTTAATATAAATATTTGAAATAAAATATTTCATATAAGTATTTATATTGACATCGATAGTATAAATATGCTGTTCTTATAGCCTTACCTAACTAGTTACTGGTACTTATATTCAGTTTACATTTTAAGACTACTAAAATGGTGTTTTCAAAATATTAACATTTTGCAGATGACAGAACAAGAATAACAATCATGACAACAGTAATAACAATGGGTTCTTTTGCAAGATCAAGATTGTACGGAGCAAAACGAAAAGGAGGGAAGGCAAATATAAAAATTAATGCAAAATATGAAAACAAGAAGGAACCGAGAATATGAATAATATACAAGATAATAATGAATCAAAGATTAAGAAGAAAAGTAGAATAAAATAAATGGAACAAAGAAACAAAGGAGGTGCGCAATAGAGTTAAAGTCCAGTCACAATTCTCTTTTAGGTATAAGGAAAAGTAGTTCCAATTTCCTTTGTTAAGTTCTCTATTCTTATTATTCTTAAAAGTATCGTCAAGATTACGAATTTTTATTGTAATTATTTCTCAATTATTATTCATTTATGCATTTATTCATTTATTCATTATTAACTTAACCAACTGGTTCATATTCAATATGTGTTCCCGATACTTCATTCGATAAAACTGACTTTGGATGTTGATGATATACACTGAATACTAATAAGGAAACTTAGGTTTCAGGTATCCTTAAATATAAACACTGAATTGGCCAAAAAGTCTTCTTACTTTGTTTCAACAAATTTAATGGTAACTTTTATATTATTCAATCGGTCTTATTCAATTTAATCAACTTTATCTTCGTCATTGCTCGGTGTATTTATTTATAATGTTTATCACAATATTAAAAATACTGTAATAATATTATAGTGACATACAAAAATATTACAATGGCTTTGCAATAGTATTATAATAATATTAAGTTGCATTTTATTGAAACGTTACATTAATATCATGTTTATTATAATACCATCATATCAGTGAAGAGAAGTACTAAAAGACATTGTGGCCAATTTAATAAAATGGCATTTTCAGACGCGTACCTTTCACAGATTTTCCTATGGAGTATAAGGCAGTTAAGTTTTGAAAACGGAGCGACGTCGCTCGTAGAAAACGACTCATTTGCTCGTAATTATGATATGTGAAGTCAATACTGTACGGTTCCTCGTAAGCGTGGAACCGTGCATTGTAGTGGTTGGCGAGATCTTTGTTGATGTGTTGCGAAGCTGCTGTAGCCTCGTAGAAAGCTCCGGCAATGGAGGCGAAGAAGAGAACTAAACGAAACATTCTGTAAACAAACAAAACAATTAATATAATTAAACAAAATCCAGAAATGAAGGTATTTAATTAATACATAGATATTTGAGGAATTAATATTTCCTTGCTGCGAACATTAAAATTAATACGGTCCATTAAATCGCAATTAGGCCGAAGATTAGAAGATTTATATAGATTAAAACTTTTCAGAGTATAATTTGAAAAATAGAATTACGATAGAAAATTACTTTTCCCAACAATTGTTTTAAAAAGCATTAAATATTGAATAATTTATATATTTTGTCGTGTCGTCTGGTTTCCAGATGTGTGCACTTGGAGCAATTCTCTACTCTCGAATTTCATCGAAACTTCATTGAAATGTATAAAAATCCGCAGTTTACAGATAAATAACATATTGTAAAGAAAAATGATTCAGACCGTTACTGTCACTGCGGCTTTGTATGAAAAAACAAGTAGAAAATCTAAAATAAGCTTTTTCCACTTGAAGTATATTGCCGAGGGAATGAAGATTGAACATTTGTGGAGTACACGTGCACTGGTTGGACTCGAGTGAATACGAATGGTACAATAGGCAGGAAGTTGTTCTACATGAAAAAAAAACCAAACATGTAGAACAAAATCCTTTCGTTTTCCAGAGAACTCAATTTAAACATTCGTCGAGTATATCTAAATGCACACAATTAACTTTTGCCAGAACATGTTGATATTGATTTTTTTAAAATTCCGATTTTAAATGAAAACGTTTTATTCTATATTTTTTATTTACTTTCACATATATACATAGTAACTCTCTGTCAATTTTATTGTCAGGAGTTTGCAAAGTACACGTGCACTCGACAAATATTCACGCTAGATTTCCAAACCGAATGAAACAGGTTTTTTCATATTATCAACTTATGTTTTCATGTAGAATGATTCTGTAGGATATCACAAAACGCTATATAAATATAAGTTATATATTACGTTAAATTGCATTTAATTTTAATTCAATTTAATTTGAAACACATTTAATGTAATGTACAATTTTTTGTTTTAGTCGTACTAGCAGATTGATGCATAAATATCTTCCAATGTCTTCCTTAACCTCTTAATTGAAGGATTAATCCATGAGAAATTTAAGAATGTTCTTTTCCTGGTATGGGCTTTTCGAAAAATAAGTAACGGAATATTATTCTTCAGTATATCATTTTTGTAGTACAATAATTTATGAATTGCAAGTATAACAGAGAAGCATGCTAACACAATTGCAGTCATAAAACGACTGCGTTACGATGAGGGAAACGTTAAGCGATCGTTGGCGTTGAGGTCCCTCGCGTCTCGTGAAAATATTTTATTTTCTCCTTCGAAAATAAACTAAATCTTATAACTTTCGTTGGTGACTTTTGAGCTTTTGAGCTCAGTTTAAAGATTATTGGATCACGTTTACGATGTTATAAAAGTATCTGTTATTCTATTTGGGACAGTATATAGAATCGTTTTACGCGAGAAACTTTTATTAAACGTATGTATATAGTTTTCATACTTAATGCACAAATGATTTATTCATTTTTATTTTTTATTTTAAAGTTAAACTTCTAAGAAACTTATATAGTATAGTAATACAAAGTAATATTTTATATATAATAATAATATAATATTATATTATACTACTGTTACATATTATTATAAACTCTGTTCGTTTATAAATTTTCTACTTTCGTAGCTATGAGCCACATGAATTTTAACTATAAATATACAAAGTAATACATGAAGTATTCAATTTTAATTTTCATTTTATTTTTCACTTGATAATATTCTTCATAATATGAATACAAGTCTGTTTCACTTCTGCTCTTGTAAAGCAGTCTGTAGGTAAGCTCGAATTTTCGTCGCTTGTAATTGAATTCATTTCTAAATCGATCTAATATTTCTTTTTACAAATTCCTTTTTCGCAGGATTTCCTTAATCAGAGGATTAGTCAAGTACAACGTATTATACAGTCACACAGATATTCTAAATCACTTTTGATTTTATGTTCTCTATGCCTATAATTTATGTTATGTAATTTATAACATGTTTCACTGCAAAAGTAGCAAATAGTTTATTAAATTACCATAAAGAAATGACTGTAACGTTGAATATGTGCAAATGGTGTACGTAATACGTAAAACAAAGATACACCTCTAGTAATTAATACGAACCTCGCAACAGCAATAGAAATCTTCGTTGGCATTATGAACAATGACTTATCTGATCGCGAGCTAGAGATAAAAAATATACGCTTTGCTTCTACAAAGGCATGACAACTTCCTTTACATGACACTTTTCAAGGCTACCATTCTCTTGTTTCAAATACGATCAGTTAAAACTCATTAGAAGAAGTGAAATTCAAAATCATCTATAAGTTACAGAATTCTGTCTGCAAACTGGATGAAGGAGTAGTTTACATATTATGAGATCATGTGAAATTGTACAAAATTGTCTGTGTATATAAACTGATTAAAAAAGCTCGAATGAAAGAATTCTTTTATTAAGTAGTTTAAATATAAAGTGATATTTTTATTAAATTTCTCCGATACCCTTATTTCATTGCAATTTCTTAAGTCGCGTACATGTACAACTTTCATGTCGAATCTGTTAAGGAATTATTCAAAACAGTTAATATCACTGATAATATTCATTTTTCATGAGAGGAGATGAAATAATAAATAAAATCATAAAATCACAAATACACCGTTAGATATTTACAATTCAGATCAAATCTATTTCAATTTGAATCTATATTTGACATGCGTTTTGCATAAAAGAATAGTTATAAAATTATTGCGTTAATATTTGAAATAGTTAAAAAATTATTATATTATTACGAACGATAGTGTTCACGCCAATATTATGAGCGCCTCGCTTAGACACGTTCTCTGCCTTCCAGAAAAAAAAGGCTTTTTGTATTAACTAATGAGGCAACTATAAGTGCATGTATGCTGACGTTTTTGCAATAAAAAACGGGACATTTTCTGTTATATGTACAATCGTATTTTTTAAAATTACGATGATTTACGTAATTTTTTTTGACACTTCTAAAAATTTATTGTTTGCCGTCGCATTGTTTAAATATTTAAAATATGAAGTTGCAAACGTACATTTTCATTACTTAAATAATTTTTTTCTTTAATATTAATAGTTTAACGTATAATTCGTCTTTCTATGTTGAAGGTTTCGAATACTTTAAAAATCCTCGCCCGTAATGGGTTAAGATATTCTTTGAAACGTAATCTAATTGAGTGTACGGTAAAACAAAACATTGAAATTACACTGAAATAAAGTATATACTGGAGAACAGTATATTCCTCTTGAGATAGGAAAGTTGAACTGTTCACGGTACTTTTTCGCTAATAGTCCCTGTTCATAGAATGTAGCATCATTTTTCTCTACTCACGACGATTTAAAATATAAATCAGTGAAACAACAAGTAAATTTTATCATCGTAATTTATATATTCAGTTTAAATCCTTCTACCGTTATTGCGTGTTGTAGTTAAAAATGTAGTATTGTAGTTATAATAATCTTACTAATTAAACATAAAGAGTACGAATATTAAAAGAGAAAATAATTTTTCAACATATTTTAAATGCTTCTTGACTCAAATATAACAGCGCAAACATAAACTGGTAATTTATGTTAGGAAATTCCAGTAAAAGTAACTGTCAATTACTTTTATTCGTGGCGTTCTGTATGTATTAGTTGAAATATGAACTATCAATATATATTGCAAATTGTTGTATACAAAAAGTGCGAGTATAATGTTTGTGAATATTATTTTGTTGAAGATCGAAATCACCTAATAAAAAACATTAATTGTGTATTAAACGAAATCGACGAATACCTAAAAATATCAGACGTCGCCAGCAAAGAATTAGGTTATAATTACTGGCTTGGGACAAACTTAGTCACCGATCAATCAGCGCACACCTCTAGAAAATCTCTGAAGAAGTATCCGCGAGATAATGAAAGAAATATGATTCCAATTTAAGTATGTATAATAATTCAAACAAGTAATCGGATTAGAATAAAAATTTTAATCGGGAATTTACGAGAATCGTAAAAATTTAACATTACGTATATATAAAATTTTGAATAGCACATAAAAGTTTATATTCTGTTCCTACTGTTTAATTTTGAAAAATTGAAAAGGAAACACGAGTTATGGACATTTTATAAACATTCACTGATTCAATTAACTTGAAATGTTAGATTAGATTTAAACAATTTGTTTTGAATGGTTTATAATTAAAGTTTGTATGTAAAGTTTTGAATCATATATATATATTAATACGCGTATTAATAAATGAATTTATTTAATAATTTCTAAAAAAGAAAACATTTGTATCTTTTCAACAATTTTAGAAGAGATTCGAAATCAACCATTTTGTAACCATTTGACAATTCCTTTGTTAATGTGAAGAAAATTTATTTTAGTGATTGTGACAATAAAGGCTCTACGTTTTATGTGTTTTGGCAAACAAATGTAACAGGCATTACCATTTTTGGACATTTTTTATGTGTTTGAAACCTGTCACTTCTCGCAAGATTTGTAAAGTACTTATTACGTAACATAAAAATTGAAATTGTATATATTCACTGCATTTTATTAGGATAACACACTGAAACCTTTTTAATCGTACTATTTTTATCTGCATATATCTTTTTAGATTATATTCTCTTTCCAATTTTAATTATTATTGCATCTATAAATCCTATTCCTCCTATAAAAGATTTTCACGTCTCTAATATTCAAAATATCGATCGATCCAAACAGCTTTTAACGAAAACTTTCGATATACAATAGTACATGAAAATAAATTACGTAAACAACCAAAAAGATGACGAAAGTAACATATAAATACAATGTAATTTAGCATTTCTAACCGATTATGCCGTTAACATTTCTATTCATTAAAACAGCACATATTAAACAAATGAGAGAAAATCAAATTTCATTCAAACGAATAGATCTATGTCACGAGTTCCTTATAAAGTTAAAAACGCTCCGGACAGTGTGTTGCATTAAAATGTACTATCCGAATCCGCTTTCTTCGTGTGTCAACTTGACCGTGTACTTTCTCCTACATTTTTTAAACTCGTCCGCTACTCGAGATCTACTTTACACTTCTAGAACAGATTCCTTTTTTCATCACCGTCTGTTGGACTAAAAGAACCACGTCGACGTAATTACATAGGTACCTTATTGAAATGGAACACTTTTTCGTATAGTAATCGGACAAATAGATCATTGATCGATTACTAGCCCGTGCCCTCTTTTCTCGGTCGCTTCAATATCGAGACTGGAGCGAAGAGAATCGGGCTCCAATATTTAACGAGCATCATCGAGCAAAATTTCTGAATTTTTTTCCTTGCACACGTACACGTGAAAATGGAAATGCAAATTCGAAAAATGATTTACCGAAAGCAGAGGTGAGTCAGTATCTCCTTTCGACATTTAAAAAAACGACCCGTCAAGTTGATAAAGTGCTCACCTTCGAATATTTATTTTGTTCGTTATTTAAACGAGTGTTTCTTTAATTTACAGTTCCATTATTTAACCTTGGTCCGTTCTTCATTTATCCAGTCTAATTTGTCTTTACGCGAAATTGGCACAACGGTAAGAAATCAATTTCAAAGGAAGTTAAATACTAGAAATGGTCAATTTTTCAATTGAAAACGTAAGAATAAGGATTTTTGTACCTTTGGACGTAAGATAACTCAATAATAACAAAATGATGCTCAATGGAAACTATATTTTTGTATATTCATCGCACTGTATCGAATTGACACTATAGCAAAGATTTATTACAACGAGAACAAGTCAATTCACAAATTGTTTATCGAGAACAACAACGATTCTCTCCTAATTCGGTTACAAAATTATTTTCCATAATGGCACAATGGTGAAAGATCAATACACTAAAGAGTCAACTTCACAAAGGTCTTTTATTAAAACCGAAACAAAAACGAGCACAATTCCAGTACATCCAGACGAAAATAAGTTTGTCCAATTAATACCCAAATTCAACGCAAAAATGGCCCCGAATCGTTCACAAGTACTTAAACCCACAGTTCTTCCAACGACCGTTGAAAAACCTCTCAAACAACAGTAAATTTCACGGAATCAAACCGTACTCCCGATTCTTTCCCCATCATTCATCCAAAAAAGACGTTCATTCCAACGAATGTGCGCCTCTTTAGAGCGACCGACACGACATTCATCCCGAGAAGAATAGTTACCTGATTCACGGAACACGGTCGCAGTCACGGAACACCGGAGACAAAAAGAAAATCGCGCGATGAGCCGCGAGGTGCAACGATCGCGACGCGAAAATCCAAAACGAGGAACGGAAAACTCAAAACAGAAAAGTATCGGAAGACGCGGAGCACGTGGCGGTACGGTGCTTGGATCCTTGGTTGCGGAGAGAGATCCTTCTCAATGGCACGGCGCACTGGTAACGGTCGCAAGGCCGAGGCCGTCTCTCGCGGTTGAACACATCGGGATCGCTCGATCCTTCGCGGGCGCGGTACGACGCGTGGAGACGAAGAAGAAGAAGAAGAAGAAGAAGCGGAAGCAGAGAAGAAGACGAAGAAAACGAAGAGAAGAGGAAGAAGAAGAAGAAGAAGAAGAAGAAGAAGAAAGAGAAAAGAAAAGAAGGGAAGGGGAAGAAAAGGAAAAAAAGGGAAACGCTGAAAACAATCTCGCGGCGCGGCGGTGCGCACGGCGTCGGACAGTGGAGAACGGTTTTGCTTCACCTGCGAGAGGAACCCGAGGTGCGTGATACTGTGAGGAACTTACAAAGAGAAGCGCGAAGTGTGCCGCGCGCTCGCTACCACCACCACCGGCACCCGACCACCACCACCGTCGCCGCCGCTACTGCCGCCACTACTAATGTAAGCCACTTCCTTCGTCGCTGGCATCTGACGTCTCCGGTGCCTACACCAGCCGCCTAACCACCACACACGTTCCTCGGTTTAGTAAATACGCAGTTAACACCATTGCACACCCGTACCACCACCACTTTCGGCAAAACAATGAGCAACACACGAACGGTGTCATTCTGGCCCCTTCTCTTTTCTCTTCTTTCGTCCCCGTGTCCCAGCTCTCTTCTCCACTACTCGGCGAACTCGTCGCTCTCTGCACTCGTTTTGTTTCCCTCTTTCTCTTTCTCTGTCTCCCCCGCTCGGTCACCTCGTCAACGACTCTTCTTTAGCTGACTACTTCAACCTTTTTTTCTTCTCTGTCTTTCGTTCGCCGAAAATCTTTCGGGCGAGGTAGGTACGTCGAGAGGATTGAGGATCGTGTGGGTATGAGCTGTTCATTTGGCACGGTGATCGAGCTGCTGAAGGAAAAACCAGAAAAATTCTGAGGCGTTGTGGGTATAATGAACTGATTCTGTGTTTTAGGGTTGTCTTTTCAATTCGAGAGTGATTGGAGAGTGGAATTGTGTTAACCGTATTGGTAATCATTAAATTACCTTATTTTTTCCTCTCCCTTTCTTTGACTAGGGTACCTCGGCAATACCATTTTTAGCTGACTATGTAAGTACTTCAACCTTTTTTCCTTCTCTGTTTTTCGTTCGTCGAAAACCTTTCGGGTGAGGTAGGTAAGTAGATACGCGGATTGAGGATCATGTAGGTGGCTGTTCATTTGGCACGGTGATCGAGGCAGTGAAGGAAAAGCCAGGAAAATTTGGTGGCGTTGTGAGTATAACGAACTGATTCAGTGTTTCAGGATTTTTTTTTTAAATTTGAGAGTGGTTGGAGAGTGTAGACCATATTGATAGTCATTAAATTAGCGTCTTTCTCTGCCTTTCTTTTATTTGGCTACCCCGATAAATACTCTTTTTTAGCTGACTGCTTCAACCTCTTTTCCTTCTCTGTTTTTTGTCCGCTGAAAATCTTTCAGGTGAGATACGTCTGAAGGATTGAGGATCATTTGACACAGTGATTAAGTTGGTGAAAGAAGAAGTAGAGAAATTAGATGAAATTATGTGTACAAGGAACTGATGAAGCGTTTTGGAGATTTAAAAAATTTGAAAAGGATTGAACTGTATTCATACAATCTAAACAATTGCTTTCTAAGAGCATAGAAACTGAAACGTCAAGGCTTTAGCATTTGCTTTCTCAATTTCCTTGCATCTCACAGATTCAATGAAATTCGGTTTGTGCGGCACGTCACTAAGAAAATTCATTTTTAACCCTATGCATTCGAGAGACAACTTTCATTCGCCGTTTGATTAAACTCAGCAAAATTATAAAATTTTTAATTCAATACTAAATTCTGTATCATGTATCAATACGTGCCATATTGAAAAAAAAACAAATGCTGTCTCTTACTTCATGCAAAATTATTTATGTCAGTTGCAAAACATAGCATCCTTGTTTCATCAGGAAACAATGAATATTTATAATGAAAAATATCGTTGAGCACAAAGAGTTAAATCTATATAAAAAGTTATGCCACCGAAATTCGGAATTTTCCCTTAATTTCTGCAAGTTTATTTTGTACGCGATCGCAGAAAATATCATCAACATTTTCTCAAAAAATAATGAATGTTTATAATGAGAAATATTATCAAGTACGAAGAATGAGATCTACACTAAAAGTTACGTCAACCAAATTCGAGTGACTGACATCGAAATTCTGTGGATGACTCATGCAGATTCTCCGGATGTTTCGAAAGTGTTCTTGCTTCCGTTCAGGATCCTCCAGCCGTGTAACCGTCTCGATTCGATGATCGGGATAAATGTTGGATGAATAGTGTTAAATAAGGAGAAAAACAATGGAGAAAGAATAATTTATCGGTCACCCGCACCGGAAATCCATTCGTAGACCTACATTACCGAAAACGTGACTCTCGTCGCGTGCTTTCTTCCTGTTCCTGCAGTCCGTTACATCGCGCCGCTTGCCTGTACGCTTCGGTTATTACGTTCGCTACAAGTTCTTCCACGGTGTTTGACCGTAAATTGTCTTAAACGTTTCTCGATTACGGGTTTGTTTGTGTAATCTAGTTGTGTAGTATATTTGGAGCAACTTTATTGGAATTGTAATTACAGTTTCTTCCGTTTGATGGATTTCGTAACTCTGACTTTCTATACATATTAATTATTATGATAACAATAATAATAGAAATGTGTAAATAATAAGATAATAATTTTAAATATAATATTTATAATGATAGTAGTAATAGCAATAAAATAATATAATAGTAATAACTGTGCATGTTTACTGGAGTATTCAATTTAAAACAGATTCCGTTGATTTTTCTATTTCGAATTAATAGAATAATTCTCTGGAATTTGCATTATTTTTAACAACATTTCAACAACTTTAAATAAATCATACTGAACAGTGGAAACAAAATTATTTGCACAAATTAATAGTGTAAATTTAATGGTTCGAAATGACACATTTTAGGAAGCATAATTACGGAACAATTTAAAAACTCCAATTATTTTTATGCCTTCCTGATTTCTGTAACTTAAAATGGAGGGCTTTCTAAAACTAAATTTGAATAGGAATTTCATTCAATTTGACAACGAATATTTTTTCATAATAATTGTAGTAGTAATAAATGTTTCTTACAATGTTGACAATAATATACTTAGCTATAACCTTTAGATATTCGAAACAAATAATTAACAAAAACATTAAGAATACAATAATGCATACAAGAAAAAACAATGAAAAGAAATATAACAATGTTCAGTATAAAACGAAAATATACAAATATCAAAACCCACAAAAGAATAAAACAAAAATTACAAAAAACATTAAGACAAAATTTTAAAAAATATAGAAAAGTGTTACACGTTAAATGATCTTAGAACGAAGAAAGGCAAGATAATCCTGGAAAAATGCACAGTGAACAGCAATGGTAATAAACGAGATGTACATAGAATGTTGAGAAGCAACTATTTGTCAAGTATGAGTCAAGAGAGTTGAGAGGACAAGCAAAAGGATTAATCTTCGAAATGTCAAGACATACGTAGCATGTAGTCACAAATATAATTTATGATATGAAAATGTGATAGCCCACAGAATTATAAATAACTTCCCTTTACACTTTACATTTAGTACTAATCTATTGCATATCATTAATTATTATTAAACTAAAGAATTGTCATTAGGCTGTAGTTTTAATTCTTGTTAAACTATAAATTTGTCGTTTTTAAATGTTTACTGCACAAATTATTTATATATTATCCCAAATACTTTTCTTCGTTGGTTACACGTCATGTGAATATTTGTCTTTGTTACATTGGTTGTCATTGAAATTAGTATTTATGGAATTATTTGCCCCGAATGTTACAAAATATTACCTAAAATTAGCTAAATTAATAATATTCTGTTGCGAAATATATATTTTAATACATTATCCCAAATTATTTAGCAAACCTGATTTTAAAATAAATATTTGTAAACCTTAAATCTATGTCTGATTAATATTCAATTGCGATTACAAATGAATGTGTTAAATATGCGAAAGTAAATAATATTAAAGCTTTTATTTGATTTTAGAATTCATAAAAGCTGTAATGGAGGAAATAAGTTTCTATTGAACTTCGATTTGTGTAAATTAGTTTGACAAAATGTTACTGTGTATATATATTTACTGTTTTATTTATGATGTTTGATATCGCGTTTATATACTTATATCAGTCTTAGAAAACTTGGAATATTTGAAATTATGAGCTAAACTTTTTTTATAACTAACAATTTTGACTATCTAATTTTTGCCTAAAGATTTGTGTGTATAAACATAAACCTGTTTGCCTTTAAATTAAACTCAGATTAAAACTTCAGAAACTACAATAAACAATATTTTTATATTTACATTATCATGTAATCATATGAAGTCACTATCTTGAATTTCACATTGTTACAAATTTCTTTTCATTAAAACAAACGTCTCTGCATATGTTCTTCAAATAAATTTTTTTTTTAAATTCCTTTAAGATTTATTGATTTTCATATTTAACATGTGACATTTAAACTTTCGATCTGTATTAGATAAAACTATGTCAGCTGTGAATGTTAATGAAAAAAAATTGTGATTAAACTTAATTGAACTTATGCTGCACTAAATTGTCAAAATTGGTTCATTGATAATAATAGACAAGATGTTACAAGACAATAATAATTATAAACGATCTTAGATAAGTATGAAATGTAGAATGTGATAAGAATATCTATATGACTGAGAAAAATATTTCGATGTATGCTGTTTTTCTACTTTCACTGTTCTTTGATGCCCTTCTTCCTCTTTCGTTTAAATTTTCCACGAATCCATATTTCATTTCCGTAAGTAAGTGAACCACATATTTTTTGAACATCCAACGCTACGTTTGAAATCTTGGACTGAGCATTTTTTTGCGCGCACGTGATCGCATATGTACGGAAGGAACTCTGGCGTTAAATGAGAAACCCACTTTACGAAATATGAAAAAAGAACACAGCACACGAGAAGCGGTTTGCCGCAAATAATGGCGTCACACGAATTGCGAGAGAGAAAGTAAGTGGAGCAAAATAATCGATACTTCGTTCGAAATTTTCAATTCAGTGTGTGTCCCTTCAGTGTTTCTACTGTAAATTGGGGAATCCGTTTGCCTCATTAACCTTGGAAATTGGGAACTGTCTTTTATAACATTTGTTGCTCTCTGTGAATATGTATGACACTTTCACTTTGAATTAGTTAATTCATTGATTACTAGTAACTGTGCAGTTATTCTAATCAGAAGTATTT